GCAAGTGCATGATGATGATTATTATTACTTATTAGTGTCAAGCATAGTCAATTAATGTCAAGAAGTATCAAATATATTTAGATCACCATAGTTTTAGCGCATTTGCAGTGAATTTCAACTCACATAGTTATCAGCACAAAGGTTGAGGCAGAACTTGGGAAAATCTACTAATGACGTCACAGAATAAGCAAACTTCAGCAAACTATATATGATACGATTATATGATACATCAATTGAAAGCTCTTGAAATGCGCATTCACATAAAACCTAGAATTGCTAAATTGTACAATTTATTTTGAATATACAGAGGATTTATGACTGTTTTCGCCGTCATTGGTGACGTCATCAATAACATGATACTGAGGCAAAAGTTTTTGGTGCCATCTTGGATTCTGAAACTCCTTACTCGAAAGTATTTAAAAACCATCGAGATCATCTCGGTTAGGCGAGGAATCAGACTTTTGCAGCCATAGGCCTGCCTATTTGGTGTGCTGATTTGTTGTAAATGGATTGACTATAGTGACAACGTTTTGTTAAGAGATTGATAACAAAACTTCGCGCGACAATCACTAACAGACAAAAAGTAAAAAGAGTAGGCATATAGATCGTACACAGAAAACATCGTAGGATTACTTAGCAGGGTCCAGGTCATTCAAAGAAGCTGTAAAGAGTTATTTCTAAACAAGCTCTCGACAAGTCCTTTTCTTATCTAAGTTTCCGCGAGATTTTGTATTTTAATTGAAGGTCATTTCCAATTTTCCATAGCATGCAACAAAAAACGCATTGCAAAAAAGGTTCATATAGTCTTTGCAGATAAAGTTGCCTCTCAAAACAAGATGTAGTGTGTTACTAAAATAAAATTTCAATATTTCATGGTTTTTGCAAATTCATCACTGTTGAGTGCAGAAGAAAAAGATGCTATCACAGAAGAGTGTGGAAACGAGAAGAAAAATACGCTATCATAGAGCGAACCCTTGAAATCTATTCACAATCAGGAAGGTTTGAACCGTCAAGCCCTGGCAAAACGACTAAACATTTCACTGAACATTTCATTCAACTTTTTTGAACTGCGAGCTGTCTATGACGCTGTTGGGCTGTAGCGGATCTTACATAAGTATTTGCTTTTGGTTTATTTCGTTGCATGCACAAGCAGTGGATAAAAATAAAAATTGGATGAAGCGATGGGGAAAGAAAAGACTTTTTGGCACATTGACAACAAAGTTGAATGTTAAAGAAGACACATTGGCTTGCAACGTGATATACAGATATCTCATAAAGGCTTTTTGGGTCACGTAGAGACAGGAAAACCAACGAAAACAGACGAAAACTTTTGGATTTCCACAGCTAGAGCGCCTGCGCGATCACAACGAATGTTTAATTGATAGCAAGACGACTAAACAATTGCTAAACAACACTAAACAACGCTAAACATTTTTGAGCAGGATCAAACTTTGCTCAACAACACTCAACACGACTAAACAACACTAAACAGGGTAGCAAAACGACTAAACTTTTCACTACACTTTTGGCTAAACAAAAGCTGAGTGAAATGTTTAGTAAAATGTTTAGTCGTTTTGCCAGGGCTTTATTTCTAAACCAGATTTATGGACGCAGGCCTCAATAAGCATAAAGATTTAGGGCGCTTTTCTATCCACGTGGCCAGATACACGTTAAGTACAAAAATTACTTGCAAACCGTCATGAAAAATTCATAACTCGATTAACTAAAAAAATGAATTTTTAAACTTGCAGCTTTTATAAACCTGTAAACAAAACCTTCCGACGTTCAGAAAGGCACGTCTTTATCTTCTGCTCAAATTTTCTTAAACATAGAAAGTAAGTTACATAAGTTCGGCAATCTTAGGTCGGCCCAAACTCTCTGCTAAAACATCAGCTTGATTGTAGAATCAACAATGCAGGCACTTTGTCGGGGATAGCAAGTCAAAATATTCATATTAACTCTGCACTTGCTGTGCGATAAAATTCATAAAAGATAAATTTTGTCATTAAAATGGTCTTGCCATCAACAAGTTCCTGCTGTGTGACAAAACGTGCCAAATTTAATATTCGAAGGACCATTCTAAAAATAGACATTCGAAATAGACTTCCTTTCTTGTGGAAAGTACAAGTGGTATATCAATGATTACTAAAAGACCCGCATTTGGAGAGCGGAAGCTTCTCTACTGGTTTGAAATAGCCCCACAACCTGTATTTGTTCACCAGTAGTACAGAAACATATCGCCCAGGCCCGACATTTCGATACCATGCCAAATTTCCCAGGTAGAAATCTAAGAAAGCATTACTTTGATGCTAACATTCACTATGTTTTCTAAGAGGGGCAGCGGCGTTAATTTCGTAGAATTCCCGCTTAGATTCAAACATCAAACAATTCGCATTACAATAGAAGGCATTATAATGTTGGTTGAATTAGATGCGGTAGAGCGGTGGACATTACATGTTTAACAATAACAGTTACTCGTTCGCTCTTAAAGCAAGCTTTGAATACCACCACGACTGTGGTTGAAAAAACAAGCCACCGGCTTTGAAACGACTTTTCAGCCCGTGATTACAAACTGGCCTCTTATTCTACCTGCATGCAAATTCACTATTTATTTATGCACGATACTCGAGCACCTGACAACTCGCCCATGGGTATTAAAATGTCATCAAGCATCTGACTACATGTGTATGTTGCATTTCTACTGGCTACGGACTGTCCCAACTCAAAACTGGCACCTTTTCTACCTACTGACTGAAATATTTCCTTAGATCTGCTGGTACTAGATGCATCTAGATTGCTTTTCATCTCTCTAGCCATATGCAAGATACTCGAGCGAGCAAAGGATAGATTTTAGCTTTGAAGTGAAGAAGCAGTGGCTTTTTAATCATTTAAAAAGACAAAGGCGAAATTCACCAATCCAATTGAAAATCAGCAGCAAATAATATCAGTAGAACACTGAAATCGAAACAATAAACTGAAATCTTTCCTCAATCTCAACTATAAGCCATGTGTCACACGCCGAGTCATTTCTCTTGAGCGATACATCACAAATAACATCCTCTGAGAAAATGATGTCGGCAGTCTAATGGCCATGGGAAATAAAGATGAAAGGAAGCTCGTAAGGGTAATTACGTGAATACGATGAAAACAAATTTGAATACGTTTGAGCAACGTGCTTTTTTTGCAATATCTCACAGCATCTATTGCAAAATTTCACCAGTTCTCGCAAAAAACAATATTTCACAAGTTTGGGGTGTATCTCTTTAAGCAGAGGATTACAATTTTTCATTGTAACTAGAAATATAACCGACAAAGAGCCCATTTCGCAGCCAGCATACAGCGTTGATAGCTCCATTACAGTGCTGGTAGCTACATACAACTATTGCATATTAATGTGCACACTAACTGATAACACACAAAATTTCTAACAACATTAGCATAGGGCTCAAATTTTGATTGGCTTAGAACTTGCGCTAAGTCACGTGGTCTCTAGCGTTGCTGAGCCAATCAAGATTTTAGCCATATGCTGACAACGTTCAGAAATGATAGATCTGCACTACTGGCATCGAAGCAAGCCATCTAAGATAAGCTCATTCACTGTACTTAAGATAAACTAAGTTACCTTCAGGCAAGTAATGAGAATAAAACTAAATGTTAATACATACCGTCTCTCCTATCAGTGTATCAAAGGTTGTATCTCTTCCACCATCTGAAACTCTGGTTTCAGTCCTTTCAATTTTAGGTACATTGTTCGCGACCGGAAGTAAACTTATTTCTCTCATACTGGCTTGCCCACACATCAACAAATCTACTCCTGACAATTCCCCTATGGGTATTGAAATGTCACCAAGCATCTGACTACATGTGTCTGCTGCATTACAACTGGCTACGGACTGTCCCAACTCAAAACTCGCATCTTCTCTACCTACTGACTGAAATATTTCCTTAGATCTGCTAGTACTAGATGCATCTAGATTGCTTTTCATCTCTCTAGCCCGTGGAGAAAGGACGGCTATACTCTCCTCTCCCATATCCCCTGGTATATCATCTTCAAAAAACAAAAGGCTGTTTCTACTACCACTCACTTTGCTGTTTCCACTACAATTGGCTCTACTGTTACAAGACGAATGTCGTTCACAATAAAACATGTGATACTTTCGCAAAGAAGATTGACCTTCATTACGAATTAGGCCACTATCTCCCTGTCCCAAAGTTGTTTGACAAGGCAGTTCATTTCTGTTTGAAACACCGAGTGGCCTGGCAAGATTATCTCTCACTGCCTGCATATCTTCCTGGCTAATTTTTCTTAGTTCATCATCAAGAATATCCATATGCACTGTGGCTACTGAAAAACAGTCTTGTGACAGAGATCTCCCTTGATCTAGAAGATTGTTCCATTTTTTCCATGTCTTTCTGCAAGGTAATTTGTCATGGCCACCGAAATGGTAGGCCTGACACGCGTTATTGAAAAAATTCTCATTGTAGTCTAGAGCGTAAAACTGTAGCAAATAACGCAAAAAACAGCAATTTTATGCGTTTTAAGTTTTTACCTTTGGTGCAGATATGTCTGGGTTATGGCAGATTGTTGCAAGACAATGGCTTTAGTTTTCAGTGGGCTGAGACTTCAAAGACAGTTGCGTCACAAAAGATGAGATATTTCAGACTATCAGGAATAACAGAATTGGATAGCAAGCCAGTCAAAATTGCCCAAGAAAATGAGGGAAATATTGTTGAAATCATCAGTTAGTATAAAGGACAGTCCATCGCCTGTATTGCAAGAATTCAGAAGATACAAAACTAACCTAAAGAGAACTTAATTGACAAAAAGGGAAAGAAGAGGCGGCAAAGAAAGTGACGATACTGGCTTCGAAGCTGACTCTAACTACCTCTCTTGAAAAGACACTAGAAGACAATAGCCTACACTACATGCAACTATTTTAAACTACTAAAATGATGACATGTACAGCAATCGATGCTACTTCAGAATATGTTAATCTTACCTCAAATCGTGGCCAGTTTTTCGGCATATCAGCGCCATGATTCTCCGACCACCAGCCAAGGTCGTGCTTGACGTTCGCATTGTAGGCTGACTGTAGCTGGTCTTTCAGTATATCACTCAACCTACGAAGACAAAGATATTATATCAATCTATCCTTTTAGGAAAAAGTATGTACAGGTAAGCATGTCTGAGTTAATATGTAAACGACATTTTAGGTAACTATAAACGCATACTTTTGGAAATGCCTTTTGCGCATTTTCGTGTGGATGATGGTAAAGGGTTACCTGTAAAAAGTAACATCAGAGCTTCCTACCTATATTCTAATGGGAGGCTAAAATGACAGGAGGCGTCACATTAAGCGAGAATTTACGAGCTCACAACGTTCAAGAAACACCCTTTTGTTTTTTTTGCCCCTGGATTAATTTCTGCTATACTTCCATGCATACGAACCAAAATTGCCTCGTTCAGTTTGCACACGGACTTTCTTAGAAAAATAATTAATCTTGTTTCGGAATCAACCTATCTCGAAGCAGAAAAAGCCACTGAACGATCATGATCTCTAAGATTTTGGGTGCGATTGATGGCACACATCGATATTTAATAGTTTTGTATCAATTTAAAAGAATTCATGAGCGGAAAGGACAATAAAACATAGAAATCGGCCAAACGATGCGATAACCTCATAATGGAAATCAGGTATACGATCATTTGTTAGGTCATTTGTTAGTGTTGATGTAGCACATGGAATTCTCCGTTGCCAACCACTGTTATAAACAATCATGTTGCTACAACATAACCTCTTTTATCCTTGTTTTGAATCACTAATGAGTAGGAAAATGGTTTAATTCGCTAATTACAGATTAATCTTTTACACGTTTTTTATAAAAGTTTGTTTAGAAATATAATTGTGTGACAGTTGAACCCTGTAATCATGGAGTGTGCATCATAAAGCTCTTGAAGTTGAACTAGCATGAATGCATATATGAATTATAATTCATATATGTCTTCGAACCTACATATGGGGTAAAAAATTACCCCATAATGACATAGGGTTACATTGACAGGCTAAACGCACTGTAAACGATCAAGCGGATCAGTATCTTCTGTTCATTACAAGCGTAAATGATTGTAAAGACTTACGTGGGGACGAAGCCTAAGATTGTGGAGCTGTCTAGTTTCCATACTGCTTGACCTGATGACGTAATTAGTTTACCCTAAACCTAAACCTAAACCTAAACCTAAACCTAAACCTAACCCTAACCCTAACCCTTTACTTGAAATAATTAATCATACTAATTTATGACTATTAATCATGCTTATTGATGACTATCAGGTCGAGCAGTATGGAAACTAGACAATTCCTAAGATTGTAAGGTTAACGTGAGGACGAGGCCTAAGATTGTCACGTAAGTTGCAAAAATTGACGCTACAATTTTTGAACTGATTCTCACTTGCGAATTGATTTGTCGATCCTTTTTAAAACAAAGTTATATAACTCAAGTCCGAATTTGTGGCAAGAAGACATTGCCCAAAAACTATCAACCGGGCATAAACGTTTCATTATGGCTGGTTTGATTAAACATGATCTCTGAAATTCACGAGCCCATGAAATACCTTGTGTATCAAACTAATTAGGTAACAGTGTGTTTTCTCATTTCTTGGAACTTCATATTAGCAAAAAGTTAACATAAGAAACAAAGTTACTTTTGAAACTGCAGACATGCCAGTCAAAGTTTCAAAAGCAGTATTCAAAAATATAGCTGTGATGTACTGTGTCCGTCTGGTTTCGCAAGAAGCTCCTTAAAGCTATAGTTGTGTCCGCTCACCTGGAGGGATTGGCGCCAAATTCACACTTTGTCATTAATTTTAATGTAACAGCCCAGGAAGAAGACAAAAAAGTTTCACTTAATATGGTAAAATCCAAGAAACACATCTGTAAAAAGGCCTCTTTATATAATAAATAATGCATTAAAACGGAAAAATTCGACTTGATTAGCGGGTGAAAACCCACTGTTTTACAACTTCATATAGGGTTTATCAAGGAATACTTTTGAAATCAAATCAGCCATTGACTGAAATATGAGGGTTTTTGGAAAAATCCTTTTGCGACAAAATTCGGACTTGAGTTAAACAACTCTCTGCAATTACAATCACTTTTGGAGGACACGTGAAAGCCATGCAGGCGGAGAGCTTTGTGATAAAAAGGAAAAAGAGTTAAAAAAACGTGGGTGAGTCGAAAACGCACATAAAATATATTAAAGTGAATAGAACAAGATAATTTGATAATGCTTATTTTAAGCGAACATGCCTTCCGCCAACACGAAGAAAGCGTTTGAGAGAACCCTTAACAAGAAGATTTGAAAACAGCTTTCAAAACCGAAGAAATAAATGGAAGATCACACGCAATTGCGTGGGCCGTATAAAAACACAAGGTCGTAACCCCGATGTTCATAGTTTACGCTCAGTTTCTTTTGAGAAAGAAAAAGCTGACGTTTGGCAGCCATTTGAACGTGGTTTCTGATGTGACAAAACCGGAGCGGTACGGCTAGGCACTCATCATTTTTTTTCACCAAAATATTTATCATGAAATCGTTATACGGAACCTAAAAGATGTCCTTTCTAGCTGACTCCAAGCATCGGCAGAGCAACAGTCCGAGACTAGATTGGTAACATTTGGTATACCTCAAGGGTCATGATTCGGAACACTTCTATATATCACGTCTACCTGAGGACTTTGAAAAATGTTGCAAGTTCACTAAGGCTAGTAATAATGCGGACAACACGCACAGTATATTTACATCTAATAACATTGTAGATTTTATTATAAAAGAAAGATATAAATGCCCTTTACCTGCTAAGGGTATCCGGGAAAGACTCCCTAAATAAAGTTAAATACAATTCAGCGCCTGCATGATAGAGCCTTTTCTATTATTGCTAAGCCAGACTAAGAGAAAATTTGCCTCATAATGAATGCCTGTTGAACAACGTATACAATTTGATCGATCTATTATGCTATGCAGAAATAATCAAGAGGCATTGTCCTAAAAGCGTTTGAGATAAATATCATCAAAGGATTTAACACTTCAACTGTAAAGACTGGAAGGATATTCCCATCACTATCAGAGAGCTCCCTGAGCTTGCTGGAGTCAAAAAGCAATTAAAAGTTTAACTTGGTAGAGCGGCTTTTAAGCAAATATGCTATTATAATTACATCATAGTTTTTGCTTTATATATGTCTTCATGTAGTTATGGTATATAAATTTGTTTCTAGCACCAGATTGGTATGCTGAATGGATTTTGCTTCCAATAACTTTTTATGCAAATGGCATGGAATGGAATGGAATCGGAATGGAATCGGAATGGAATCGGAATGGAATTGAATGGAATCGGAATGAAATCGGAATGGAAAAGAACGGAATGGACTAGGAAGAATGGAATAGAACGGAATGGAATATAATGGAATAGAACGGAATGGATCGGAATAGGAAGGAATGGAATGAAATGATATGCAATTAAGTGCAAGCCTCTCCCAGCCAAGTCCAGGCAACAACAGATGGTTTAAAAACCAATGTTTTCAGCAAGGGGAGCTTGAGTGTATCGAATCAATTCTTATTTTTCATTAAAAGCTTTTCATCCCTTTTGAAAAACTTGACCCAGTATTGAGTTGAACCTTTGTTGAACCATATCCAAATCAAATTGAACATGGCAAGTAGATGGGAAGCACAACTGTGCGATTCTCACTCTGTGACAGATGCTTCGAAAAAAGCCGTATTTGAAATGATATTCAAGCGTTAGAGATGAGACGAAACATTTAAAACCTTACCGTGAGTCGTCAGTTACGTTGAGACTCTTGTGATATTCCACAAGCATTTCCTGAAGAAAGTGCAACTTTCTTTCCTCCATACGTTGACATTTATCGAATATTTTTATCATTTCGTGCTCATACGCAGTGTTTAGTGGCTCTATCCGCGCCAGTTTCTCCTCGTACTTTTTCCTCATCTTTGCCATACTGTTTTCGCTTTTATTTGCCGTATCCTCAAGCTTTCGTATTTTCTCCGCAGGGATATTGTCGTCTTTTGTCGCTGCGCTAACTGCTTGGGTGGCGTTATTGTATGATTTACATGCAGAATGGTAGTTTCTTTTCGCACGCTGTACTTTTCCGTATGCCTCGGCCCAGGGCTTTTGCGCCTTAGCGAATTCTTCCTCAGCCTAGGGGCGAATACAACGATATTTCAATTATATCACATAATGAAAGACCTTTAAAAGATGGACTGTTGTAGAAAAACATTGAAGATTGAATCAAAAGAAAAGCTGACATTGGGGCAAGCAAAGTTAAGCAGATGATTTTTCAAGGAAAAAAACCAATAAGATACAACTAACAACGCTGGTGAATACAACGAAATTTTAGTTATATAACATAATGAAAGACCTTTTGAAGATGGACTGTTGTAGAAAAACATTGAAGATTGAATCAAAAGAAAAGCTGACATTGGGGCAAGCAAAGTTAGGCAGATGATTTTTCAGGGGAGAAAACCAATAAAATACAACTAACAACGCTTGTGAATACAACGAAATTTCAATTATATAACATAATGAAAGACCTTTTAAAGATGGACTGTGCAGGAAATTGTGAGCGCTCCTTCCTATCTACCTCTCTTTTTCTCTTTCTCTCTTTCTTTTGTATATAGTTGTTGTTGTTGCGATTGCACTCAATTGAATAGAAGAACTCTCGCTTACTAACTCGAAAGGAACGACGTGAACTATATCTCTCAAAGAACTCTCGATAGATGCGAGCGCCAATCACGAGGAAAGAAGATCGATGGAACGATTCACATAAAGAACAATATTTAGAATAGTACTAAATCAAGACCTTATTGGATAGAGGTGACTTCGTTAAAATTCTTAGGTTATTTCTTCTCTCTGGACGTTAATTCTTCTCTCTGATTAATGATTCGTGGTTGTTCATGTCATTATATTCGCTTATGTTTATACTTTATCTTGCATTTTAATTCGAATAAAAAATTATACAGTCCTCTGACTTTGATATAGAATTTGATCTTCAAGACGAATGAACCTATATGGTAATTCTAACCTGCCAAGTAAATAGATCTTAACTATTTACATCTTAGTAGTGATTCCTGGCAGGTAATTCTCTATAGACTGTTGTAGAAAAACATTGAAGATTAAATCAAAAGAAAAGCTGACATTGGAGCAAGCAAAGTTAAGCAGATGATTTTTCAGGGGAGAAAACCAATAAGATACAACTAACAACGATTGTGAATACAACGAAATTTCAATTATATAACATAATGAACGACCTTTTAAAGATGGACTATTGTAGAAAAACATTGAAGATTAAATCAAAAGAAAAGCTGACCTTGGAGCAAGCAAAGTTAAGCAGATGATTTTTCAGGAGAGAACACTGATAAGATACAACTAACGACGCAAATAGCTAAGCCATTAACTGAAAAACATCACATGACATGAACGCTAGTCAATAGTAGGAAAGCACAGTGAAGCAAGCTTTCTTTGTAAACAAAGACATTAAACTTTCACTTGTACGACCTGAGAAATAAAACCTTCCAATACTTAACACGACACGAAGTTCAATTAGAGGCAAAAGTTTTTCAAAAATCCCATTCGGTATCGATATAAAATGCTTGGTTTTTGCATAACAGGACGAGCTAGTTAAGCATAGCAGACTTTAAGAGCATAAAAGAAAGCTAAAGATGGAGGTGGGTGGGAATTGCTTTATGCAGAAGAATACAAATTCTGCCGTTTAAAATCGCTGGCCTGGTTATCGATCTCCAAAGTTGAAAACAAACAAGTCAACGCCGAGACGAGTCTCACTTCGATTTAACCCCCCCCCCCCCACCTTATTCATTATACCCCCTCGAAAAATGCATCCTCGTTGGAAAGGGACATTCATCCGATTAAACAACAAACACACTTTGAGATTGCCGATTAGAGCTTTAAAATCTTTCACCTCAAAATGTAATACTTTAATAAAAACATACAACTATTTGATATTTCCGACAATATCAGAACTTTTCCGGACTTTACAGGGAGGTTTCTCGCCCCCTCTCCCTCTGACCCCCTCTAGGAAAGAGTAGATTCAAGACAAAAGATGGATATTTTTGGGCAGAATCAGAAACAGCCTGTGTTCCAGACCCCTAACTTGAAAGTAGATGGTCTGTGTTAGCGAAAGCAAAATCGCGTACGAGCGTTTCCCAGGATATCTGAGAAATAAATTATACAAAAAATTATGCGGCATTCGCATGACAAAAGTAAATAACAGCGTGAACAAAGGGTAGTTTGCCGGGGCAGTTTACGCATTCAAGTAGCAAAAAGAAATGTGTGCAAATTCAAAGATTCTATTTATTTTGTCAGACAATGTCACAATGATGCCTAAAAGCATTGAATATATCATGACGCCTAGATAATTGTCGCCTGGCGCGAGGATGGACACTTCAAAAACCGGAGGATGAATTTTTATCAAAACACACGCTGGTCGTTAAAAATTCATTTTTTTACATCAGAATTTCAGATATCAAACAATGAACTTAGAAGACGTGTTTATAGCAAAGCAATCACTATCATAATGAAAAGAATTGATGAAAAGTACAAGGCATAGGCCTAGGCCTACTGCCTCACATTGCTAAAAAAATAAGTCCACTCAGTTAGGCACCCTTGACCAGATCAATGATAAATTTTTACTAGTCTTTAGCAATTTCCACTGTCTGTAAACTTGCGTTTATAACCAGATATCATTTTCTACGGCTTGAAGCCAAAGTGTCTTTAATACTTTTCGGTTTCCATTTCTTATCGCTACTCCGAAAGACATTTTTTCCTTCATCGTATCCACCAGATCTTGTCCCAAAAAATCCTTCTTTACATTAAACTGAAGCCAAACTAGAAAATAAACATCTTCTACCATGCAAAACCAAATGTCTCTTCAAAGCAAATCGATTGGTTGCCAAGTCAATTTTACTTCGATTGCTGCATGCGGTAATGAAGTGTCCCAACGGAGATCTTCAACATCAAATACCAAAGCAGCGTTTTCAAAATTTGTCTTCATCACCATCATCGTCATAATCATCATCATCATCATCATCATCATCATCATCATCATCATCATATCATCATCATCAT